CCTCTCGGACGGGCCTGGCCAGGGTTTGGGGCCTGGGTCCCGGATTCTGATAGCTTCGTTTTCCCCTGGGCGGGCCAGGGGAGGGGGCCTCGCGGCGATGGAGCGCTGACCCCAGCGGGTGCGCTGTCATTATCCCCGCCAAACAGGCGGCCAGCGCTGGGCTGAGTCACGAGTTGGCCCAGAACCAGGCGGCCTGGAGTGGGTGGTATCCACGGCCGGGACGCTCCTCCCCTCTCCGTACTCCCCAGGTCTGCAGGGAGCACTGATTGCGCGCTCCCCACTCCATGCCCAGGGCAGGTTTTGGAGTGGGAGGCTGGATTTCAAAGTGTGAGGGTTGGCGCCAGTCTTGTCCATTCAGCCCTTGCTGAAGGCTGCCGTGTGCCAGGGGCCCTGTAGGGGGCTTGGGCGAGCACTGCAGCCAGAACAGAGTAATAGTCACCATCCATGGCTATTACCACTGAGTGTTTAACCAGTGCCAGGCACCGTTCTCCTCGCGTGGCCTGGGTTACCCCAGGTAACTGCAGGCAGCCAGGGAGGTGGGTACTTGCACGTTCCAGGTTCTCAGGTTGGAACTCTAAGGCTGCATCACCTGCCCAAGAGTCTGTATTGTAGGCATCGGACGGGTCAGTTCTAGAGTGGAGTGCCTTCTCCTCATCCTTAGGCCATCTGAGCTCGTAACAAGATCTTTTCTTGTTTCTCTTCCTCCCATCCTCTCTCCATATTTTGACTGCGCAGCTGGGATGTGTGGACTCCTAAGTTTACAGTTAGGTGGGAGGGGAGGATTGGGCTTAAAGAGTCATGATCGCTGAGGCGTGTTGGAAGCATTCTGCAGGTTTGTGGATGAGGGGAGAGGAAGAGGTGGCGGGTGTTGTCCAGCCGGCCCTTGGACAGGACAATTGATAGCTTGATCTTAGTATCCCTACCAGGCCCTTCATGGGGAGGACAGCCCTAGGGGATGGGACAGCATGTGCAGAAATAAGCCTGGAGAATGACTATTGAAGACCTGGGCACGGACAGGAGGTAAGGGGAGGGCAGTTCTCAAAGTACCTTGGGATGTGGACTTAATTTGGTAGGTGAAGGTCCCTTGAGCAGCTTCAGTGGAAAGCATTTCCTTGACTCAGCTACGAGCTGGGAGAGGAGCTGGGTGTGGCAGGAGATGCCTTCTCCAGCACAGCCTTCCTCTGTGGCCACAGGCATCAGAATCAGCTGGGGGAGCTTCTTAAACCCAAGGTCCCTGATCCACAACCCAGACATACTGATCCTAAATTTTGATCATGTGCCCTCCTTGATCCTAAGGCACCCCAGCTGTGGTCCTTGTCGATCCTACGGATGCCGTCAAGCTTGTTTGCAACTCTGCACATCCGTTCCCTCGGTGCTGCGTGACCAGGCCTGGGCCACACTGGTTCCCTGCTTGAGTCAGAACCTAGGGGTGACAGGCCCTCTGCACAGCAGTCCTCAGAGGAAGGCCCTTTCTGTTCAGGGCTCTTGTGCATGGGCTGGGGACCACCCACCTATGCCCTGGGCCCTGTGAGCCAGATACATTCCTCAGGACCCCTTCCTCCCTCACTGGGCATGTGTCCACCTCATTTCTTCCCAACCTGATGAAAAGAGGGAGTGAGAGAGTGGCCTCAGGGTCGCTGAGATACTGGACTCTCACCCATAGAACAGTCACCGCCGGCACTGTCAGGCCCTGGCTTAGCCTGCATGTGCATCTCATCTGCACAACAGCCCAAGGAGGGCCGCTCTTATCCTGTTCTGAACAGGCTCGAACAGGTTACGTGCTTGTCCAAAGCCACTCGCCCTTAAATGGGGACAGCACTCCCCACCTCTCAGGTAAGTGCCGAGGATGGCAATGTCCTAACGTGATGAACAGCAATGGCATGTTTGGGATCTATAAGAGGAGGGTGGGGGCAGTCCAGTTCGGGGGTGGCTGGGGAGCAAAAGGACTTGATTTGAAACGCCTTTGGTGCTGGGGGCAGGACATCAGGTAAACGCCAGCAGCATCAGCTGTGCTAAAGGTCATCCAGGTGGGTCACCAGGGTACAGGAAGAAGCTTTCAGCCATGCCCGCTGGGCCCTGGCGATGCTGCAGTGAGCTGGGCAGACAGTGGCCTGAGGTGCCCCTGTCCCGGCTCCGGGGCCTCTGCCCACTGCTGGTCACATTAGGGCTGAGAGCCTAGAGCTTCCTAGAGAAGCTGACTCGCTTCCTGTGCCTTCTCAGCTGTGACCTCAGCAGTTCCAGGGTCCAGTCCCGATGACAGTCCATTGGGGCTGCCGTGGCTTATAACAACACAGGTCCATTTGGTGCCAGCAGATCCAATGTCTGTTGAGGGTCCGCTTCCCAGTCATAGATGGCTGTCTTCTCAGCGTGTCCTCACGTGGCAGAGAGGAAGAGAGAGTTCTCTCCTCTCTCTCTCAGAAGGCAGTAATCCCATGCATAAGGGCTCCGCCCTGCTGACCTGAGCACTTCCCGAAGGCCCCACTTCTTAATGCCATCACACTGGGGAGTCGGTTGAATTTTAGAAGACATCAGTGTTCAGTCTGTGGCACGGGGCATCGCTTGAGGAGGAGCCCAGGCCTCCTGACAGGACTAGGAACTAGAGGGAGCTGGAGGAGCCTCGCGCCCACTCGTGGGGAAAACCCCTCCCAGCAGGGAGAAAAGGGGAAGCGTGCCTGGCGTCTGCGCAGAAGCGGGCAGGGGAGCCAGGCCACAGGCGGTTCCGCCCCGCCCAGGGACAGAGCCTGAGGCTGTGTGGCACGGTGGCTCTGGGCAGGGGTTTGGGTCCTGCTCCTCCTGGCTTTGACTCATGGCTCTGCCACTTCTTGGCTGGGAGGCCCTGGCAAGCCACTTCCCTGGCTCCTCTACTTCATAGCGCTGCGAGGAGGACAAGAGGCATATATGCAGGCAGGCAATCAGCACAGAGCTGGCAAAGAGCTCGGCAGTGGCGCTGTGGCGACTCTCCCTGGTGGGGATGGCGCCACCTGGCTCCGCCTGCTCCCCTTTCCCTGAGGTTGTCACACAAGCAGGGACTGCTCTCGTCACTGTGCTGGGTGCCCAGGCACCGGGAGGGGCCTGCCCCGGAGCCAGCCATCTTCTGGCATTGGCAGTGGTGAGAATGGGGAGGTGGCATGGGCGCCTTGCCAGCAGGCACTCCGCACAGGTGAGCTCCTGGGAGAAGATGGCTTGCATCCCAGCCACCTGTGCAACCTCGCGGTTCACCTGCCTCATCTGACCTGTGATGGAAGAAGCGTGCCAGCCTGCAGAGAATGTTTCTAAAGCGTTTACTTGAACCAAACTGACAGCATGTGCCTGAGAGCAAGAGCTCAAACGCTCTGGAGAAGGACAGTTTGGCAGCTTGTTTCATGCATTGGAGATTAAGGAGGGGAGAAAGTAGATTATAGGATTCTGTGCTTTCTTGAGGGTGGTTATGCCTGGAGTGTTATTATTTCCAGCATTTCAGTGGCATTTTAACCCAAGAACAATGGACAGGGCTTAAAACCTTTCACTAGAGAAGTGATATGCCTGGGCTGACTACCTACCCACCGTGACCTGCCCAGTTAGGAATTTATGATCAGATCACCCTCACAGCGAGGTACTTCTGTGAGGTTACTTTCCACAGAAACCCCTTTCATTTCGCCCACAGACCAATGCCGGTGACAAGCCTAGTCCATGGGCCCGGTCTCAGTGACCCTCACAGCGCAATTTACAATAACAGAAGATTGGAAACAGTCTGAACGTTCAGGAGTTACAACCAAAGTGGCCTGCTGGGGGCCAAGCTCTCCACACTATTTGTGAGCTCACTGGGCCTCACCATGTATGCGGGAGGCGCCGTTATCACCCAGTGTACAGCTGAGGGAACTGAGGCACGTTGCAGCATTAATGAGGGTGACGGTGGGATGTGAAGGCACCTACTTGCCCTGACTGTGGGTCCAGCGCTCCCTGCACACGTGGTTGACGCGGGTTTGCTTAGGCCACTGGTCGGCAAACCGCGGCTCACGAGCCACATGCGGCTCTTTGGCCCCTTGAATGTGGCTCTTCCACAAAATACCGACTTCTGCGCATGGGCCACGAAGTGTCAGTCGCACTGTACGTGTGCGCCCGCACGTGGTATTTTGGTGGGTTTGCCGACCACGGGCTTAGGCTGATGGTGTCCTGTGGTCCAGGGGCTCAGTCGGTGTCAGGTGATAAGCTGGGATGGGCTTAGGTTGGGGGTACCATGACCAGCACCCCAACCTTCCAAGGCTAAAGCCCCCTCTCTCTCCCTGTAGAGCCCTCGCCTGCCTCAGCGCACCAGCACCCTCCCTCCCGCCCTCGCAGCATGGTCTGGAAGAAACTGGGCTCCGGCAACTTCTCCAGCTGCCCCAATGGCTCCCAGTGGATATGGGACGTGTTTGGTGAATGTGCCCAGGACGGCTGGGACGAGGCCAGTGTGGGCCTGGGCTTGATCTCCATTCTCTGCTTCGCAGCGTCCACTTTCCCGTGAGTAGCGCCAGGGTGGCAGGACCGGGTTTAATCCCTTGAGAACTACCAGGCTGCTTTCCAAAGCCCTCACGCCATTTCACAGTCCCACCAGCAGTGCGTGAAGGTTCCAATTTCTCCAAATCCTCATCCACACTCGGTATTTCCGATCTATTGTAGCCCTCCCAGTGGGTGGGAAGTGGTAGTTTTGATTTGTATTTTCCTGGTGGCTGGTGATGTTAAGTGGCTTTCATGTCTTATTGGCAGCTGATTATCTTCTTTGGTAAGAGGTCTGTTCAGCTCTTTTGCTCATTTATCATTGGATTTTTGTCTTTTTATTGTTGAGTTGTAAGAGTTCTTTATATTGTCTATGTCGACATAAGAATGTCCAAACCTGTAGAGAATTTTTATAGGAGTTTATTGAGCCAAACTGATGATAATTGCCGGGAAACAAGATCTCAGAGGCTCCGCAGAATGGCAGTTTTCCGGGTTTTTTAAGCATTTGAAATTAAGGGGGGGGGGGGGGTGGAAGGAAGACTATAAGAAGGTGGGAGAAAGCAGCCCCGGGGATTGGAATACAGATGGTTAACGTGATTGTGCTCTGATGAGGGTGGTTATTTCAAAGGTATGTTAACCTACCGTACACACGTACACACACACGTACACACACACACACACACACACACGGCTTGCTTCAGGCAAAGGTAAACTTTTTACTTAAGAATTCATATGCCTGGCGCATAACACCCACCATGACCTGCCCAGTTAAAGGACTATGATCAGGTCACCCTGGCCGATTACTTCCCGTAGAACCCCTTTTCCATCCACTTTCATGTGACTTGCAAATATTTTCTCCCATTCTGTGGTTTGAAGCACAGAAGTTCTGCACTAGGTATGACACAAGAAAATAAAATAGAGACTGCCCTGGTTTTGCAGGGCTTCCCTTTAGAAGACACCCTGGGAGTCACAGGGGAGGGCTGGGGGGAGTAGGCCACCCAGCAAGCGGTGATGTCAGGGCCCACTGGAGAGGCCCTCAGGAGGCAGAGTGGACGGGTCTGGGTGACTGATGGAGGCCGAGGGAGAGAGACGCCCTGTAGTGAGGACAGAGCTTCCCCAGAACTATCAGAGGAGCTGGCTGAGGCTTCCCCTTCCGGCCCTGGCGTAATGCTGGCTCTGCCTGGGTCTGGCTGATTATCCACTGAGGGGGGTCGAAGGCCTGGGGGAGCCCCATGTGACGGCGGGAAGGGCAGCCACCTTCCTGCTCCTCCTTAGGCCCTGGCCTCTCCTGGGTGTGACCTGCGATTTCTGGAGATAGGTCAGGTCACAGTATCCTGAAGGAGCTAAACGGGACACGGCATAAACCTTAATTAAGGGCCTTCTCAGCCAGGCCTGTGCTGGGCCCTGTCCTTGCCCTCAGGAAGCTTGAGTCCAGAAGGCACCAGGGTGCCACGTGTTACAAGGGTGCTGGCGAGCTCAGGCCAAGGAAGGCCCCGAAGAGGAACTATGTCCTGAGCAGTGACAGATAAGGAGGTGGGCGAGCCATCTGCAAACGAAGAACGCAAAGGAGAAAGCAGTGCCGGTGGAGCGAGACGGGAGCCCCGGGGTCTGGGTGTGAATCCTACTCCCAGACTCCCAGCTGCGCACCTCCTCAGCCCGCAGTGAGGAGGGTCCTCAAAATACACCTGGACCTGGGGGACTGTGAGGACCGAGTGAGTCTGTACACACGAAGGGCTCAGAACCGTGCCTGATACCTGGCCAGAGGTCCAAAGAAAGGGTCGCAAGTCCCAGGGACCCCTGGGAAAGAACCAAGGTGCTGACTGCCCCAGTGTTTGTACTGGAGAGCAGAAGCCACAGCCCTGCCCCTGGAAGATAGTGGGCTGTGGTTGCCCATCATCTTATCGCCGCCCGTCCTGGAGATAGGGCAGCGGCCGTGCCCGGGCCGTGGGCTTGCTGCCACCACCACTATCCTTTTTCCAAACTCCCTACCCGCTTCGTAGAAGAAAGATTGTAGGTCCCCAGGGTGCTTGGAGGAGCGTGAGTAATGCCGTGGTCTGTCCGAGAAGATGCACATCCCATTGAGTCCCTGGGTGGGCAGGGATTCTCCCCAGTAAAAACCCCCAAATGGGCAAAACGGGGCTCCCAGTGACCTTTGCCTCTGCCACCCCTGCCCCCCACCCTGTGGTGGTCTCATCTGGGGGCCGTTCCCTGGTTGGCCCTCCGAGGCGATGTCACAGCCCTCGGCCCCTGAGCGTGCGTCTCCTTCTCTGCCACAGGCAGTACATCAAGGCCTGCAAGACGGGCAACATGGACCAGGCCCTGTCCCTATGGTTTCTCCTGGGCTGGATCGGTGGAGACTCCTGCAACCTCATCGGCTCTTTCCTTGCTGACCAGCTGCCCCTGCAGGTGGGCCGGCCCTGGGCAGGGTGGGCTGCCTAGGATAGCATGGCAGAGGCGTTGGGGGCACCCACAGGAGAGGCCCGAGCTCCAGAATCCTGACCTGTTGTTCCATCTTATGAGGGCCCCGTGCTGCAGAGACAGCCCTGGGCCCTGCCACGCAGTATGGCAATGGGCTGGTCACTGTCCTTCTCTGGGCCTCAGTTTCCCCATCTGTAAAATGACCACATCAAACCAGAGGGTCACCAGAGCCTTGAACCTCTGGGATGCTCTGATCCTGATGGAGCTGGGGGTGGGGGGGTGAGGGGTGGGACTGGAGGAGGAAAGTTTTCCCCGGAGAGGCCCAGGAGCCATCACTTGGTCCTGACAAGGGGAGCGAGCCCCCCCGTCCCTCCATCTGCCCGGGTCCATCACTTAGCCCACCTGCTCTCTAGTGGTGCCAGGTAGGAACTGCGCTCCCGCTTTCCAGGTGAGCAGCCAGAGCTCAGGGAGGTGACGCGACTTGCTCAGGGTCACCCGGCTGGGGTATGAGAGTGCTGCCCAGTGTCGGGGTGCGGGCCCCAGAGCCTGGGACTGAGCCAGCGCCCCTGCTTCTCTTGCAGACCTACACGGCGGTGTATTACGTCCTGGCAGACCTGGTGATGCTGTCCCTTTACTTTCACTACAAGTTTAAGAATCGCCCCTCTCCGTGTGAGTATGGTGGTCCCTCCCTGTCGGGCACGCTAGGGGCAGCCGGGAGTGTGAGAGGAAGCAGCTGTCCTATTGCCGGTGATAACCCTCCGAAAGGCTTCCTCAGGCCTTATCTGAAAGCCCGAGCCCTGATCGGCCAAGATAGGGGCCAAGGGCAGTGAGCACATCCGGCAGGACCACAGGGCTCCCCTTCACTCAAACTCCTATTCAACGAACATGGCTTCAGCTTCTCCTCTGTGCCTGGCCCTGGGCTTGGAGCCGGGGAAACAGGCACAGGGCTCACAGGCCATCGCTGCCTCTGAGGACTCAGAGGAGGCCATAGCTAGGTCAGAGCGAGGGCTGTGAGATGCGGCCCGAGGCATTGCTTTTGATACCCCTTAATTCTACAGATGAGGAGTTAAAGCTCAGAGGGGTTAGGTCACTTGCCCAAGGTCACACAGCCACCGAGGGGCAAGGCCATGACTCCGATCCGTTTGCTGCCACTCAGATATCTAACTTCGGCTTCCCTCCTGCCTCATGTCCAGTGTCTGCCCCCATCAACTCCTTGCTCTTGTTCACCCTGGGACTGGTGTGTGCCACCCCGCTGCTGAGCAGCACTGCCTCTATGGCTGCCCCGAGGGAGGGCTTCCAGGGCCGGAAGCTCCTGTCTGTGGAGCCAGGCAATAAGGTGAGGTGTGGGTACGGAGTGGGAGGGCGGAGGGGGGAGGCTGGCCTCAAGGGCCCTCCCTGCAGGGCCACCTGGGCGGGGGGTTGCCCCCTAGGAGGGAGCTTGGGGCTCTCCCTGCCAGGCACTGAGCACTCCCTTCTGCTTTCTCAGCCCTTCACTCGGCAGGAGATCATTGGTTTTGTCATCGGTTCCATCTCCAGCGTACTGTACCTGTTCTCCCGGCTGCCTCAGATCCACACCAACGTGAGCCTTGAGCGGGGTGGGGCCGAGTGGAAGAGAAGAGCCGGCCTGGCAGCGCGGGCGGGCCTCTGGGTTCAGGAGTAGCACAGAGCAGAAGGTCTGGGTCTACACTCACTGTTGGCTTGGGCAACTTAGTCCAATTCTCCAAGCCTCGGTTTGTGCCTCTGGAAAATGGGCATGGTGATGCCTGCCATCCAGGCATCCGTGTGACCTGTGTGACTCTCAAGTAGGAAGTCAGGTGCCAGCGAGGGGCTGCGCTTAGAGGCCTGAGAGGAGAGAAGGTGGAGAATCAGGGATGGGTGGGCAGAGGCAACGAGAGTCAGCGTGGGGCTGGAGAGCAGGGCGTCACGGCAGCAGGCATAGCGCAGCCACAGTCTCCTGTGGACCTGGGCAGGGGGCCTGGAGAGGTGGCAGGAGTGAGGAGGAGGAGTCGGGCCCTGGAGCGGGCTGTCGGCGTTGGACACTGGGCACACAGTGTAAAGTCAGATTTTGATTACACGCACACTGTGACGGGCCAGATGGATACATGGACAGTCACAACCCAGGGTGACAAGGAGCCCTGTTTGAGGTCTCTGACCCCAACCCCCTCACCTCCAGTTCCTGCGGAAGTCGACCCAGGGGATCTCCTACTCGCTGTTCGCCTTGGTGATGCTGGGGAACACGCTGTACGGGCTGAGTGTGCTGCTCAAGAACCCCGAGGAGGGCCAGAGCGAGGGCAGCTACCTGCTGCACCACCTGCCCTGGCTCGTGGGCAGCCTGGGCGTGCTGCTGCTCGACGCCATCGTATCCTTCCGGGCGTGCAGGTGGGGCGGGGTGGGCACAGCAGCCCCTGCCTGCTCGGGGCTTCCACATCCACCCAGGGTCAGCCCTGTCTGCCATGCACCCCGCCAGGCACTGGCCCAGTCATGAGCAAGAACTGGGTGGCCTTGCCCCCGGGAGCTTCCAGCTCTGAGGAGGCAGACAGGATGCACTGATTAGAAGTCATTACTTCGTTGCAGTGACACTGAGGGCCCCAGAGAAAAACTGCAAGAGTGTGTGACCAGGGGGCTGCCCTGATTTAACCCTTTGCGGTCCAATTTTATTTTTGGAATTCAAACAGTCTGGTCCAAATTAATTGACGGGGTTGAATGTTGAACCGGTTTGCTGTGTCTCAGCCTCGACGTTGGACCTGCTCCTAGCGCCTGGTCCGTCGAGTCAGCCTCCACGTTGGACCGAAAAGGGTTAAAGGCTCCGCAGAGGCCTCCCGGGTGCCATTTAAACTGCCCTGAAGGAGAGGTTAGTCGGGCAAAGGCAAGAGGGATGTGCCCAGCTCAGCGTGTGCGAAGGCCCCGAGGAACGGGGAGATCGGGCCGTGCGGGCCGGGGAGCGCAAGCTGGAACGTGGAGACACGTGAGTTCGTCACAGTAACGGGCGCAAGTTCTGGCTCTGTTCCTCCATAGCTGTGTGACACGGGACACCCTAACCTCTCTGTGCTTCGGTGTCTGCATCTGCATGGGGGCGGCGACCGTCACTGTCTCACCGAGATCAGGGGCCATGCGTAAGGCAAGGTGTCCGGAAGGCTGCGCGGCCCAGCACAGCGAATGCTCAGTAAATGTTTGCTGAACGGCGGAACGGGGCCTAGTTTGGATCGCATTTGGCAGAAAGTAAGCATGGCCCTTGTTTGCACACCTGCCGAGTCCCTGCTGGCTGCCCTGAGAGACGTTTACCTCACCTGGAGCCAATATAAAATGATACTGAATGTCAACAAAAGCAAAGTGTAAGCTCTTAGTGCCTTCAAATGGCCCCAGCCACTGGGTGAAACTCCCAGGATGGTATAGGGGGGGAGGAAGGCAAGCTCCTGGGGCTGGAGGCAGGGAGGACTGCCTGAGGGAGGAAGACCCTGGCGCTGGACCTGGAGGAGGAAGTTGGTTGAGGGGTGGGAGGGCATTCAGAGTGGAAGGTGCAGTGAGAGCAGAAGCTGGGAGGTCATTGCCGGCCCTTCCGCCAGCCAGAGTGGGGCTGAGGGGGAGGGAAGAGGGAGCTCTGGGTGGAGCCACAGGTCCCCAGGGGCAGGCCCAGCCCATCTGTGCTTGGTCAGGCCTTAACGTGGACCCTCCAGATCTCCATACAGTTCCTGGTGTACAGGAACGCCGCCACGTCCACAGAGCACCAGCCCCTCCTCCCCGGCTGACCAGGACCCAGGCCGAGCCCAGATGACCAGGACTGCCAGCTACCACTCAGTCAGTGCCGAGGACCCTGGACGAGGCTGTGGAGGAAGCCAGGGTCGGGGGGGCCTGGTCCTCCTGACCCAGCTGCCTACCCCCATGCCTCCTGGGCTGACTCTTCCAGGAGCCAGACGGCCCCAAGGGGAAGAAGGTGGAGAATCAGGGATGGGTGGGCAGAGGCCACTGGGAGCTCATCCCCCAGGGCCTGAGGCAGCTGCCCTGGGAGCTTTGGTGGAGGGGCTGCAGCGGAGCTCACCCCTGAAAAAGCAGGGCAGCTGCCCCTCGCTCACCTACCTCATTGTGTGCCCCCCCCCGGGGAGTGCCCCGCCGTGGCCTGGTGTACCCAGACTGTCCTGCGGCCTGCAGCCAGCCCAGTAAACCGTGCTTCCCAGCGAGGCCTGTTCTGTTGCTCCTTCCCAAGATGCTGGGGTCGGGGCTGCTGTGAACAGCAGTGGAGGGAGATCTGGGCCCCATCTTCCAGGGCCAGAGGATCAGCTGTGGGGGAGCCAAGCAGGAGGGGATCGAGTCTGCCGGCTCGCTTCCCGGTGGCCTCTCGTTTCTTCAACCTGCTTCTCAGTGACAGGCTCCATGCCTGGGGGTGGGGACCAGCAACAGGGTCCCTGACCTCAGGGCTCAGGAGGAAGCACAACAGTCAAGGTTCAGATCTTGGTTCTGCATCTTAGCTTTTCTGTGCCTCGGTGACTTTGAACTGTGAAATGGGATGACAGTATTACCGCTTCGTACGTCCTTATGAGATGGTGTCATTAGGGAGGTTAGCCCAAAGTCGGGCGCGTAGTAAGAGTTCAGTACAGGTTAGCTTTGATCATGTTTAGTTGGAGGAGAGGGACAACCAGACCTCCCCGGAGATCCGGGAGACCTTCCTGGAGGAGGCGGCATGGCAGAAGAATGAGTATCCACACGGGGAAAGGTGGGAGTGTTGCTGGCCAGAGGAAAAGAAAGTGCAAGAGCGGGTGGGAAGGGAGGAGAGGGAGGCAGGGCTCAGTTTGTCTCCCAGATTCTGTTCTGAGTCCACTTCCTTGTTGGCAGCGGCCCGGTGGGCACCTGAGAACAGGCCAGCTTCCCTCTGCTCTTGCTCTCACATCCTGCCACAACCTGGGAACCATCCGGGTGGGCTGGGATGGAGGCCGTCCCTCGGCCTTTCTTTTGGAATCTTCCTCTTCCAGCCCCAAAGGAAGCAAGGAGCTGAGCAAGGGGGCACAGGCTCCTGGGGTAGGGGGTGGGGGGGTGCCATGGCCCAATCTGGTGCTACAGATATTTGTGCAGCAGTTCTCCACCCTCAGCCCTTTCTGTGGTCGAAGTCTGGGATGGGGTGAACCACCTCTGGTCCCTGCCAGTTAAAAGGGCAGAACTTGCCAGGCCCTCCCTGGCGGGAAGGGGTGTTACCAGAAGGTACAAAGTGCCATAGGAATGAGGAGACTCAACCAGGGAAGGCTTCATGGCAGAGTGGCCTGGAGCTGAATGTTGAAGGCAGAGGGAAGGGAGTGGGCAAAGGCCTGGAGTGGGAGTCTGGGCTGCTCCCTAGGTGGGGTTGTGGGGGCAGGCAGTGGAGTGGCTTACAGCAGGAGGCTGGGTTTGGCTGGGGGAAGAGAAGGAGGGGGCTGGGGCGACCAGGGACAGGGCACCTCTGAGGTTCAGGTGGGCAGTGAGGGCCAGTCTCCCCAGCCCTGTCCTGGGGCAGGCCTGCGAAGCCCTGTGTGTAACCTGGCATGCGGCTGCCGTTTATTGAGCACTTGCTGTGGGGGGGCCTCTCGAATTATGATGGCCATTTAACAGAACCAGCCTTTGAGGAATTAAGCAACTTGCCCGAGGTCGCCCAGCTAGGCCTGGCAGCTGTTTGAACCACATTAGGTCCCTCAGCTACAGGGGTCATCCCACACCTGGCGCCTTCCCTCTCCCTGGCTAGGGCCTCGGGGGTCCAGCCTCAGCCTTGCCCTGGCGGCGGGGGGGCAGCCAACCCTGCTGGGCTCAGACCCCTTTCCCACCATTCTGAGCAGTGACTTCCACAGCCAGCTGGCTCTGCGCCCACCCCCCGCCCCCCTCCCTCAGGGCTGTGACCTGGCTGGGTGATTGCTGCTCACCTGGGGCCAGGAGGCACCTCCCAGCCTGAAGACGGGGCTCAGTATGGCAGTGAACCCCTGAACTAGAGCTGGGTGGGGAAGAAAGATGAAATATCACAGCCCCGCCCTGGAAACCCTTCTCTGATGGGGTGGTATCACCCCTTCCACCTCAGGAAGCCCCAGTCTGATGGGGAGACAGGGCCCCTGCCCTGGGAGTGCCCTGTCTGATGGAGAACGGGGTTGTGGTGGCTGAATAAGATGGGCTTGCAGGCTCGTGCCCCAGCACCTGGCATGTGGGAGGTGCCTGGCAAATAAATGGTGGCTGCTGGAGCTTATCCACCACCCAGCACAAGCCTCATGTCTGCTCAGTAGAGGTCCTCTGGGAAGGTTATCTCCTCCCTAGAGTGGAAGGGCCAGTCAGACGGAAGGGCCAGTCGGACGGGTTCCATTGCAGGACTGGGCCATGCTTGCTGGGGTGGGACCTCTGGGTGGAAGGTAGATTTCCTTTCTCCCCTGGGCTCACACCTGTTGCTTCTTGCTGCAGGCAAGGGTGGTTAGGTGTGGCCTATCGATTGACATGCTGTATATGAAAATGCCTGGCCCCCGTGGTCCCCACACCTGAGGATGGGGGCGGGGGGGTGGGGGGGGACAGGAACAGCTGGCTGGCAGGCAGGTGGCATTCTGCAGAAAGCAGAAGGAACTACCCAACCCAGGGCCCGACCCCAGGCCCTCCCAGCCCGGGGTTCCCTTGGTTATTCCTCAAACCTGGGACTTTCGAAGCCACATCTTGGACAACCTGGCCTTCAGTCCCCAAAGCTGAGAAAGTGGAGAAATCCACAACTCAGCCCTCTCCTCACGCCTTCTCCTGTGGACTTGGCTTTTACCGGAGCTGGATGGTGGGACCCCAGAGGTCCCTGCTATACAGCCGGGTGCTGAGTCCCAGATGTCCCGGCACTAACCGGACCAGGTTAGTGTCAGCCCTATGACCGGGAGGGGGGTGGCCTTTTGCTTCAGATTAACTCAGTTCAACTAGTATCGACTGATGAGTTCCTCGGCCCTGTGACAGCCCTGAGGACACAGCCACCCACCAGCACATGTAATTAATAAGGACTTCCCCACCCACAGTAGACGGTATGGGCAGAGACTTCTCTCTTGGTCACCACGGTATCCCCAGTACACAGAAGGTGCTCAATAAATGGTGAATGAATTGAGTGAGTGAAGTGAATGCCTGAAACACTGTTCCCCAAGGGACCCTCAGTCAGTAAAGGAGACAGGCATGGAACCCCCAAACACAAAACTATTGAATTTGTACACTTTAAATGGTACATTGGCAGGCATGTGCATCGTCACTCAATAAAGCTCTTTGAAAAAATAGAGAATTGGCTATTATTAAAACTTGAATGGGAAGTTGTAGGTAAGGAGAACCTATTACTGTCTTACAACATTCCTACTCATGTAGTCATTACACAGTCACCTGAAGGCCTACTATGCATGAAGAACTGGTGGTCAGGTGAGAGAGGAGTAAAGAATTTCATTCACTAGAGCAGTGATTTTTAACCTTTTTCCCCTCTTGGCACACAAACTAATTGCTAAAATTCTGTAGCATACCGAAAAATACATTTTTTGCTGATCTGACAAAAAGAATAGGTAAATTTTGATTCCTTAACACCAGATGGCTCTTGTGTTGGCTGTTGCCATGTTTTTATTCGACAGTCTAAGGGAAAAGAGGTCAGTGCCCCTGACTAAACAGGCATTGCATGTTTTAAAAATCCCTGCAGCACACCGGTTGACTATCTCTGCACTAGACCAAAGAAATAGAGACATCAGTGTATATGTGTGTGTGTGTGTGTGTGTGTGTATATATATATATATATATATATATATATATATATATATGTCTGTTCATTCCTCAGAACATTTACTGAGCACTTACTCCAAGTTGAAAAGTTTCACAAAGTAGCAACAGGGATGAGTATGTCTATGTAGTAAAAGTTTTAAAGATAATAGGAAATATCTAAGAATAGAAAAAAGAACTTAAAATATTATACCACATTTAAATATATTTCAGAGACTTGATTTCTTTAAATTATGAGGTTATAGATATAAAATGTTTATAGCCTCGCCCAACCGGCATGGCTCAGTGGTTGAACATCAACATATGAACCAGGAGGTAACAGTTCAATTCCTGATCAGGCACTTGCCTGGGTTGTGGGCTTGATCACCTTTGGGAAGGGTGGGGAGGGTACTGAAGGAGGCAGCCAATCAGTGAGTCTCATCATCGATGTTTCTATCTCCCTCTTCCTCTCTGAAATCAATAAAAATATATTTTTAAAAATAAAATGTCTATAGTCTCAATTTTGTCATTTAAAAAGTTGCTTGAACTATCTGAGAAGTGATACAAATTATAATGAAACAAGAAAAAAATAGCACCAACTAGTTATAAAAAAAAGTACCTGTTGCCCTAACCGGTTTGGCTCAGTGGATAGAGCGTCGGCCTGTGGACCGAAGGGTCCCAGGTTCAGTTCCGGTCAAGGGCATGTACTTTGGTTGCAGGCACATCCCCATTAAGGGGATGTGCAGGAGGCAGCTGATCGATGTTCCTCTCTCATCGATGTTTCTGACTTTCTATCCTCCCTTCCTCTCTGTAAAAAATCAATAAAACATATTTAAAAAAAAAAAAGTACCTGTTGAATAACCCACCTGTTTCCTATGGGGCCAGAAAGTGAATTGCAAAATCACTAACAAACTCAAAGTATTTGTAGGAAGCAGATGTTCTGAGCGAAGTAACAACATGACAGGGTGTTAAGTAACCTTGGTTTTCCGACTGAAGGTTTTACAAATTTTAGTTATATTGAGAAAATTATAAAATGAGATTTTTAACATTTAAATTCTAGAACATATAATTTATAACGTTTACTTAAAGTGTTTGGAATGAGACATACTTAAGATTTTGCTATACAGGCTGACAAACACAAGCAAAAGGTTCTCCCTTGGCCCCCTGCTTACTGTTAAGTGGAGGAGACGGGTCTGCCTGTGGCTTGTGATGAGGGTCCCCGGCCCAGCGACTGGCCCCAAGTAGGTACCACAGGTTCCCTCTCTCCTCCAGCCCCTTGAGTGTCCACTGGTTCCTGGAGCAGAAGTGCACTCAGTCAGCGATAGGCTGGCTGCGGCGGACGCAGGAGAGAAGGAAAAGATGAACCATCGCCACCTAGGACAGCGCCTTCGAACTGGGAGTGAAACTGTCCAACTTCAGTATCGGTCTCTCAAGAGAGACCATCTTAACTGACTTAGTGGGTCATGCCAGGGGGAGGAGAGAA